TAAAATCAATTTGAGAACGTAGTCCTCTTGCGTCTACAGCTCTCTGTGGATTGGCCTCATCTGAGATTTCATCCAGCACTCTTATTACTGCAGGCAGCCTGTCCATAAGGTTTCTACATGCAGCATAGCGACAGGCCCGTCTAGTGTCACTTAGCCTTGGAAGTTCTCATGGTGCCCCACCACTGAACATTTCTTTTTGAACACCCATCCACTTAATGTGAACATATGATCCTGACATGAATGTGTGCAGTCTTTCTAGAAAAGTGAAAAAACATGCAGCTTCTGAGACATTTTTTACACTGTCCACAATGACAAGATTCGAACAGTGTGCCCTGCAGTGAACATAAAATGCATATTTGGCAACTTCCTTAACCCTTGTTTGGACCCCATGACTGCAGCCCCATCATAGCCTTGGCCCACCAGATTCTCTTTGTATTCCAGTCCATACTTTTCCAGACATGAAATAAGTTTCTCTGTCAAACTGGCTGCATCTAAGTGCTCTGCTTTCTGGTACTCAAGGAAGCTCTCCTGAACCACACCATTATAATAAAATTTTACGACCAGAGAATGTCTTTAGTCTCATCCGCTAAAATAGAAAAGTGCTCACTTTCTTTAACCTCTTTTATAATTTCCTCCCTCACCATTTCTGCTAAACACTCCAAAATCTAATTTTGAGTGCTTTTGCTTGTGTATTTATCATTTCTGGGACCCTGTGACAGCCGTTTTTTCATTAAGGCATCGTGTTTACTCCCAAGATCTAAAATCTCAGGGAAATTTCCCCTGTTTTTTGAGTTTTCCGATTCATCATGGCCACGTTGGGAAATATTCTGAGTGGCTGTCAACAGCAAGGTTTCAGCCAATGTTTTAATGTACTTTTGATTTTCGATTACTTGTTTCTGATTTTCATCTCCCATCATTCCCAAGACAGTTGTATTTTTCTTGGCCATTCTTTTAAGTCAATATGTGAAAACCTCTGGTTATCCTTGTATTACATTACACTGTAGGACCATGTAGCTAATAAGTAGCCTGTATCACAAATATAAAATCAGAAAGATTTATCACATGCACACACCAGGTAAGTTTAGACTACTTAATCCTATTGTATTTGTTATTTCCCCAGTTGTAACCTGGTTTCATTGCTGTGATATCTGAGAGGATATCTGAGAGGCCCCTGCCCGTAACAGTATAATGATTTTTTATTCAGGTTTAACACGCGAAAGGTCACCGGTTCGAGACCGGGCGGAAACACTGTAATATTTCTCAAGTAACCCAATATTTTATAATATCCACCATGTGTCATTTAAACGTAGCCTCATTAGTCTCAAAAATTAGATTTAGCAAATCATATTAATGATCAAACACACTGGTTTAAAATCCACCATCAGATTTATTTATATAATCCACAATAACTAATCTGTCTCAGCTGGCATTATATTCTGTACATCATGACAACATTATAAGGACAAATAGAGTCAAGTCAAGACTGTAGGCCTACGTTCTGTGACAGATTCCCAGTAGTTATTATAATGGGTATAAATATCTACATTAGTAGTATAGGGATGATATCCTACAGGCCAAATATAGAAAGATAATATGGTTCACAGCAGGATCGTAGTGGGAGAGAGTGACCTATGATGTGCAAAGTCAATATGCACACAGGACTTGATCAGATTAAGTTGGTAATTCTCCTTCAGGCAGGTCCATAAACAGACAGGAGAGGAAACAGCGCCACATGGTGGTGTAAAAATACACAGCTGGTGTAAGAAACCCCGTAAAATGAGTTTCAGTCATACAAGCTCCATGAATCTGCTTTTCCTCAAGGACAGAATGCTGCACCTTCCTCGTTAGTATAGTGGACAGTATCTCCGCCTGTCACGCGGAAGACCGGGGTTCGATTCCCCGACGGGGAGAAACTTTATTTAACAACTGGATGGAAGTCGAGCCTGAAGATCTGATTCTGACAACAATAAGACATAAAAAGATCTGTCACACTTTAGATATTTGGAACTCCTTTGCGTTTACTTTATGGCTGAAGACAATTTTCTGGCATCTGATTGAAACTAGTGTATTTACGTAATGTTATAAACTTAAATATATCAGTAGATTTCTATCTGTATGTTTAATATTGTGAAACTTGTTTCAATTAAATTTGCTTCCGTTTTAATGTGTGTACAATCACAACCTGCAGACCGACAACATTCAGACACAAAACGAAGATCTGTCACGAACCTGGTCACATTTACAGGAGATGATGATTTGGAATAGTTGATATGATTAGACAATTTAATACACAATATGAAGACTCATCATGTATATGGCCACTTATCTACAAGCCCACACTAAAAAAAAAATACGGTAAATCCATAATGATAACTGGCCAACTTGAACAGAAAGTGCTCTCAGACTTTTGATAAAGAGGCTGTTCACTGAGGAGGGAAAAATCTATAACTGCTGATTATGTTAATCAACTTCTTTTAATACCTTTAAGGCCCGATAGGCTGCAATTATACATCTGAGACGTTATTGTTGACGTGACAGCTGTAGTTACCGGTTGTAACAGCAAATGCAGGTTAAGCCTGTAGGTCACAGAAGTCCGGGGCAGCTAAACAAAGTATTGTCAGGTAGTAATTGATCTTTTCCCATAATTCTGTGAGCAGCCATGATCTGACTTCATGCTGCACAAGAGTCTGCGAACAGTGAAAGGAGTTAGATACCTGGCCGAGAAGGTGGAGGTGTGCAGCCTGTCGCCTGCAGCTCTTCAACTCACTGCAATATTTCAAACTGCTCTATTAAAAGTTGAACAAGACTTTTGTCGTGTTTTGTAGATGCAGTTTGATGGACGACAGCGGTCAGTGCTACATTGTAGGCCCATTTCCTGTGACTAGTTTGAAATAAAAGCCAACTGCTGTTTTGCTAGTTAAATGCTCTTGTGGATGTGAAGCTGTAGCAGCAGAAAAATATTAGACACTCTCAAGGGCTGTAATATTAAAACCTACATCAGATTGCTCTGATATTGACAGAGGGTCACCCTGAGGTGGTCTGCTGTCACTGTGAAGTGAAATGAGTCAGTGGAAACAGGAAGTTTCCTTTTTACATGAGTTCGAATCTTGGCTGAATGTAGTAAGCTTTCTGTGAGACTAATATTTTCTTTAGGTACTTGTGGTGTCTTATTTATTCAATCGTTTCTGCCACATCAATTGCATTGTGTTCAGCAGAAGCTCACTTTTATTTTGAAATATGCTGTGACACGATGTTACCGTAATGCCTAGAAAAAACACGCATCGCAAAACAGCGCGAGGGCTGGCTTGACTTCAGTGAAAAAGTGCAGTTTGTAGGCTATTAGCAGGATTTTAATTAAACTTTTTACCATTTTTAAAATGCTATATAGGCTATATATATATATATATATATATATATACATATATTCTGTCTGTCTGCACTCATTAAAACTCGCACACTTTTCTCCATCATCCAGGATAAAATCACTGAGGAATTATTATTAAATAATTATCTGAATTATTAGAAATGTTCTTTATTGTCCGACTAAATGTTGGTGAAGACTTGCGGCACATTAGTCATGTTGAGAAGCTCACATCCACTTCAGACTGAATCTGAATCACTCAGATATTTAAGAGCTTGTTTGTTGTCCAGACTTGTGTCTTATAATCGCCTGTTAATGCAATTTATGGAAAAAATAAATTAAATAATAATACAGGAATTAGATGTATATTTATTTTGCCTTTAATCTCAGATGGTTTATGTTTTTAGAGAATTATGAATTAATGTACTTATGATTGATATAATTATTACTCTATCATGTGCTGTTAATTCAATTCAATCTTATTTATATTATAGAGAGATATAAAAAGGGATGGAGGGGAAGCAGCCAATATCAGGGTATATACAGGAAATTCAAAACCTTTAAGACCTTTTCAACATAATTTAAAGACTGCCGCGCCACTTTGAGCTGTAACCGGTTAAGTCAGCCTCACAACTTTAAAGGGGGAATTGTGGAGTTTTTAAAAGGAATTTAAACATATTTATAACATTTTATTGCCTATACGTGACCTAAAAATTGAGGCATTCACCAACTCTCTCAGTTGCCTATAACAGCCTGTTCAGGCCTGCTGTTTTCTTTGTGAAGGACTCGTCTCACACAGGCTGTGATGTTTATGTGCGCAACATTACTGCAAAACATGTGAAACAGTGTGATTTTGTGTTTTAGTTGGTTCAAACTAGATAACGTTAGCTTGCCTGCAAACGCCGACCAGTTGATAACTAGCTGACGTAGTTGTGACTTATTTTCAGTCACAAATATGTAAAGCGTGTGCTGTTGGTTGCAATCTGAAACCTTCCTGCTAGAAGCCACTAAAAACCACACAGCCCACCTTTAACTTACATTTACTATAAATAGATTTTGAGACTGTAAAACTAAAGACTCTTTTTGTGATAACTTTCATCGACCATTGTATCAATACAACATAATTCAAATAGGCCAGAAAGGAACAAAGGTGAAGAGAATAAAGCGAGTGATGGATAACGTCGGTAGTGTAGGCAGTGCAGCACTCAACGATCAACAGCTGCTGTCTGCATCCTAAAGCTGATTTGTGTAAACTTTAGTAAAACAGATGTAAAATAGAACAAGGGGAACATGTTGCTGTCAGGAGGAGGTTAGAAGCAGCACATATTGGCACAATGGCATCCTGGCTCTGGCTAAATCTTTCCACTACACTCGATCCACAACCTGGAGGAGGAACTAGTACAAATGAGTGTATTAGTATAATATGTTAAAAGTAGTACACAAGTAGAAACAGCCTCTTTACAAGCCATGGAAAAAACTATTGATGAATAAAAGAGTAATTAGATGTTGGGGTGAAATATATGGTACGTCCAGTATGTATGAACTTTTCCTTTTATCTGAAGAAATTTACATTTGTAGAAAATTAGGTATTAATTCCTTTATATTAATGTTAAATCCTAATATAACGATCAGTGTATGATGCGCTGTTAATGAGTGTGAACAGGCTCTTTGAGGAAGATGTGGTGGCTCTTAAAAGAGCCTTTTGTTGGGACGTTGTTGGTCTTGAAGCAGCTCACTTCTTCTTGGCTGCAGCCTTCTTCACTTTGGGCTTGGCGGCCTTCTTGACGGGGGTCTTCTTGGCTGCGGGGGCCTTCTTCACCACCTTCTTGGGGCTCTTGGTAGCTTTCTTGGGGCTCTTGGCCGCCTTCTTGGCCGCCGCGGGCTTCTTGACCTTCTTGGGAGACTTCTTGGCGGCTGCCGGCTTCTTGGCTGCCGCTGCTTTGGGCTTTTTGGCCGCTGCGGGTTTCTTGGCTGCGGGCTTCTTGGCTTTAGGAGCCGCTTTCTTCACCGCCTTCTTGGGCTTGGTCTCCGCCTTCTTGTTGATCTTGAAGGAGCCCGAGGCCCCGGTCCCCTTGGTCTGGACCAGAGTCCCCTTCACCACCAGGCTCTTGATGGCGGTCTTGACGCGGGCCTTGTTCTTCTCCACATCGTAGCCTCCGGCAGCCAGAGCCTTCTTCAGGGCGGCCGCGGACACGCCGCTCCGCTCCTTGGACGCGGACACGGCCTTAACGATGAGCTCCCCGACGCTGGGACCAGCCTTCTTCGGCTTGGACACCTTCTTCTTGGCCGCTTTGGCCGGAGCGGCGACGGCGGGGGCGGCTGGAGCTACTTCTGCCATGTTCTGCTTGTTTCTCCTCACGATAACACGAGAGTCTGAATGATGGAGGCTCCGAGCAGCAGGCTGCACTTAAACACACCGTGAGAACCGTGGAGACTCAGCCCAGCTCGCGGCCGCTCGGTGCGGGCTGAACGCCGCCACTTGTGTTTTCTCTGCACCGATAAAAGGCTCCGAACTAAATGTGGGAGAAGAGCCGCAGGCTGCCGGTGAAGGAGCCGGTAGCGGACTGGTGTCTCTTCATACTGAAGTCATGTTCAGCTCTGATGCGCTCTGCGTTTGGTTTGCGGAGCCTCCAAACTTCACACATTCACCGTCGCGACCGGCGCTTATCAGCTGCTTTTCACTCCCATTTCTCTCCTAAAATGTTTTAAAATGCATCAGAGCTCCATCAAAAGCAGTTTTCCAGCGGACCCACATGTTTGTTCAGGCGCTCAAAGTAAAAACAAGCATCTGTTGATGATCAGTTTCTAATAAATCGAGTTTTTCTGGGAGCAGCAAACACACTGATGATGGAGGTTCAGCCTGACTTCCTGTCAGAGCTGCTCACTGTGGACGTTTCTGCTGCTGAGGACAACTTGTGTCTAGAACACCTTTTATATTCATGCTCCTACTGATAAATCAATAAAATAACTATAGTTAGTCACCTAATAAAATAACTATGGTTGTATTAACTGTGAGCTAAGTATACAGATGAGAAGGTCTACAGAGTCTTTTACTCAAATGTGTTTCAGTTTCAGTTTTGTCCCTAATTTTACAGCACAGTGATGTTCTATAATGTTAAACTCTTTGGATAAAATATTTCCCTAATTTCTGGATTTATAAAATTACAGAACTTCTCTTGTCATCCCATAAATCCCAAATATTCTGGACTCAACTTTTAAGACCTCAGATCAGTCATTTTTTCATTCCAGGTGCTTTAACTTGTTCACCTGGAAACTGATGTGTCAATACTTCACATTAATTAGTTGTTTAAAGATCCCCTCCAGACATGTTTTAAGACCTCAAGGCACCGGCAGCTTATTTTCCCTCATTGAAAAGAAATACATGTGCATTTTTTTCTTATTTAGCAGAGTTTATCTGTTGGACACAAGATGTCTCCTACTTCATGAAACGTCCATTGTCACTGGAAGCTTCACGTTTCCACATCACGCAGGTGTGAGTTCCATACTGGACAATTATTGGCTCCAAACTAAAATGAGGCTTAAACTTAAAAGTTTAAAGAAACTTTCTGCAGTCAGCAGATGAACGAACATGTCTGCAAATAAATTATTCTGCACTGTGAAAGTCAAACATCTGAGTGAAGTCACAATAAGCAAAACATGTTGTCCTGCTGCTGGTCAGGGTTGAAGATCACATCCTTTGTTTTGTTAGCTGAGAGGATCCTAACTGTAACACCAAACAGCTCTATGATGCCTGGCTGGTCCAGGATCAGCACCAGGAAAACAGTTGGGTCCCACTTTGCCCACCTGAGCTGTAGACCTGCAGACAGGAGAGCAGGAAAAACAAGGTGACATAACTCGTGCCACATTTATTCTTTTTAGTTTGCTGCTTTCACCGCTCGCAATTTGGGGGACAAACTGTGAAGATGTTAAAGATAAGATGTTCCTTTATTGTCCCCTGTAGGAGAAATTCAAAGTGGCCCAGCAGCACAGGGGAATGTAAAAAGAAAGAACAAAATACAATAAAGTTAGAACCAGTAAACATCAGAATCAAGTCTGTAAAATATATACACACTATATACACAAGCAAAACATCATCTGTCAGTGGATACGTTGGGTGCTGTGGTGTTGTGGAGTCTGATGGCACAAATGAGTCTCATAGGCGCTTTGAGGAGCGGAGCTGGATGAGTCTGTGGCTGAAGGAGCTCCTGAGCTGCCTCAGCTCAGCATACAGAGGATCAGAGCGGTTGTCCAAGATGGTTTTCAGCTTTCTCTCATCTTCCTCTCAGTCACTGCCTCCACACTGTCCAGGTCCATCCCCACAACCAGCTTACACAGTTTTTTGGCACCATGATCCCGATGCCACCTCCCCAGCACACCACAGCAAAGAAGACGACACTGGCCGCTACAGACTTAAGAGGATCCATTTGAGCGGCTCCTGGGAAAGAAATATTATGGCCACAGTCCACGGTGGAACTTATAGCTGGCTCAGCTTTATGCACATTAGACTTTCATCATGTGGGATCATTAAGCACAACACATGTTGGTTATATTCACACACTGTCAGCAGCTCTCCCACAGAACAGCACTGTAACTTTGAGACATTTTAAAGAAACTTTAGGTGCACCGGAGTCACAGGACGCTTTGATGATGTGATGGAAAATCAAAAACTGGTTCTGAGTTGACTCGAGCGCAGAGTTACACATGATAAATATAAACTCACCTTCTAGAGAGGTAGCATCTCTGCTGACATGATCTGTGCATTGTTGTATCTTGTTCGGACTCCTTTTTGGTGCCTTTTCATAAACAACGACTCAGTCGAATACCACTACAGGACATCAGCTCTTAAAGGTGATTCAGTGGCTCTTAAAAGAGCCTTTGTGTTTCCGTCGCAGCAGGTCAGGATGAGGTTTGACCTATGAAGCCGTACAGGGCCCTGCCTCTTCAGAGCGTACACCGCGTCCATGGCAGTGACGGACTTCCTCTTGGCGTGCTTTATTTAAAGTGTAAAATCACAAGCTGCGTGGTCTCAGTACACTTTACAGAAAACAGAGACACATAAAAATTGCAGAACTGGATAAAAAAAGCTGAGAACACATAACAAGATACACACATTAAAAATCAATAAAATACACAATTATAAAACAACAAGAATCATTTAAAATTCAACTCATGAAAGCACTTTTTTTGACCATCACACACTCAACACATTCAGACAACATTCAGTATGTCACCATTATGCAGAGCAGCAGTCAGTTGAATCTTGAAAGAACTGTTAGTACAGATATAGAATCAATGTCTTTACTTTATAGTTTAATCCACCAGATAAAATGATTTTCAACATGTTTAATTTTCAATTGTTAAAACTCCACTCACAGTATGCATTTTGTGTTGCCGATTATTTATTTATACATTTATATTTAAAGAGTAACTCAAACACTAAACAAAATCACATCTTAATAATCAAGATGGCGCCGCCTCGGGATTACGCTCCGTAGTGCTTTTTCTGTTTTTGTTGATTAACGCTGTTTTCTTCCGTCCAAGATGTAACTTTTACCAGAGAAGAGCTCTTAAACGTTGGACTTTGAACTGCTCATACTATTCCACCGCTCCTTATTGACCCTGGAACTTTCCTGGAGCGGCAGCTCTGTTTGGGATCCTTCGGAAACGGCGCAGGGGAAAACGTGCAGGCGCGCTGGTTAAACTGAGACAGCGGGGATTTCTCACTGCGCTGCCTTCAGTCCACCAAGCGAATGTCTGTCCTCTGGCCAACAAAATGGACAAACTGCTGCTCCTCAACAGAACCAACTTGGACTTCTGCAGATCGCGAAAGGGAGCTCACGGGAAAAACACGGGGAGGCGGACTCTGTTTCTATATAAACGAAGGTTGGTGCACAGATGTCACAGTGGTGAAGAAATCATGCAGCCCTCACCTAGAGACATTATTTATTAACTGTAAACCGTTTTATTCACCGCAGGAGTTTGCTCGTTTGTTCTGGTCGCTGTTTACATTCCACCTCAGGCCTGTGTGTTAGTGAGGCATTACTACACCTGGCTGACCAGATAACTAACACGGAGAAAAAACATCCAGACTCATTGTTCTTGGGGACTTTAACAAAGCAAACCTCAGTCATGAACTTCCAAAATACAGACAGCATATTAAGTTTCCCACCAGGGACACTAACACACTGGACCACAACATTAAAGGACGCCTATCGCTCTGTCCCCCGTGCAGCCTCGGGATTCTGATTACTGTCTGGTTCATCTTCTCCCGACACACAGGCAAAACTGAAATCTGCTAAACCTGTTTTAAAGACTGTGAAAAGATGGACCAACCAGTCAAAGCTGGAGTTACAGGTCTGCTTTGACTGCACTGACTGGAGTGTTTTGAGGCTGCAGCCGCTGACCTGGACGAACTGACACTGTGACATCTTACATCAGTTTTTGTGAGGACATGTGTGTGCCGAATAAAACCTTCCGCACATACAACAACTAAAACCCCTGGTTCACAGCGAAACTCAGGCAGCTTTGTCAGACCAAGGAGGAGGCCTTCAGAAGTGGGGACAGAGTCTTGTACAACCAGGCCAGGAACACAATGACTAAAGAGGTGAAAGCTGCAAAGAGGTGCTACGCTGAAAAGCTAAATAACAGCTTTGCAGCCAACGACCCTGCCTCAGTGTGGAGAAGCCTACGGACAAACTACAGGAGACCATCCCCCAACACTGCTGGTACTCAACGACTGGCAGACGAGCTGAATGGTTTCTACTGTAGGTTTGAAAAGCCCAGAGTCACACCTCTCCCCCACTCCAACGCCATCTTCAAACAGTCACCTTCCCCCTCTGACCTCTCACCTCAAGATCTGTGAAGAGGATGTGAGTCAGCTCTTCCAAAGGCAGAAGATCAGGAAGGCTCCTGGACCTGACGGTGTGTCTCCATCCTGCCTGAAAATCTGTGCGGACCAGCTGGCCCCCATTTTCACTCAGATCTTCAACAAATCACTGGAGCTGTGTGAAGTTCCCTCCTGCTTCAAACGCTCCACAGTCATCCCCGTCCCAAAAAAACCCTCCCTCCATCTCTGGACTGAATTACTACAGGCCTGTCGCCCTGACATCTGTAGTCATTGAAAGACTGGTGTTGGCCCACCTGAAGGACATTACAGGCCCCCTGCTGGACCCCCTGCAGTTTGCCTACAGGGCTAACAGGTCAGTGGATGATGCTGTCAACTTGGGTCTGCATCACATCCTGCAACTCCTCAACGCCAGGACCTGAAGTGGGAGCCCAACACAGACACGATCATCAAGAAGGCCCAGCAGAGGATGTTATTCCTGCATCAGCTCAGGAAGCTCAACCTGCCTAAGGAGCTGCTGATCCAGTTCTACACAGCCATCATCCAGTCTGTCCTCTGCACGTCCTTCACTGTCTGGTTTGGATCTGTCACCAAAAAGGACAGGAGCAGACTACAACGGACAGTCAGGACTGCAGAAAAAATAATCGGTGCCAACCTGCCCTCCATTCAGGACTTATACATTTCCAGAGTCAGGAAACATCACTGCAGATCCATCTCACCCCGGACACAACCTGTTCCAGCTCCTCCCCTCTGGTTGGCGCTACAGAGCACTGTACGCCAAACCAAGAAGCAGTTTCTTCCCACAAGCCATCACTCTGATGAACAGCTGATTTCTGACTCAGCTAAATTTTGTTTTCTCTTTTGCATTCATTACTATAGGCGGTTCCACACTGATGCCTGAGGGTAACGTTCAAACAAAAAACCCTATGTAAAGTTTTTTTTTACATTTTCAAGTTTAGAATGATTGCATTTTCATTGAGTATTTTAATAAATAGTATTCAAAGTTTAAATAATAACTCTCTTTTCCATTGTTTACATTATGATACAGTGTTGCTTTAAGCCAACGGACCCCAAAGTATATTTATTTAATTTTTGAAATTTATTTAAATTATGTTTACTTGGTCCATTTAATGACAAAAAAACACACTAATATTTTTTTAACCCACTGGCAAAATAATGCCTACCATAGAGGGGTCATATTTCTATGAGTTGACTATAAAACAAGAAATTGTCCATGTACGGCAACAAAAGTCAGGTGCTGGTTGATCATAGCAATGAAAAATAAAAAACAAGCCACCGCTGTTATAAATAATAAAGGTGATTCTGATAAAAACAACAAAAAAAAAAACTACACACCAAACCGGAAAAAGTGCTGCTCGGTATGGGCGGGGCCAAACTGTTGACTCTCCAGAGAGGGAGGAGCTTCAGGACAGCTGAGTTTGGCACCGCCCAGCGGAACTCGCGCCTTCTGTCCTCTTCTACGTCCGCAGATAAGATGTAAAAAGCGCGTGTCGCCCTTTAAGTTCATCAGTTTGTTGAACGAGTAAAGCTGAAAGATGAGCGGAAGAGGCAAAGGAGGAAAGGGACTCGGTAAAGGAGGCGCTAAGCGTCACCGTAAAGTGCTCCGTGATAACATCCAGGGAATCACCAAACCCGCCATCCGCCGTCTGGCTCGCCGCGGCGGAGTGAAGCGGATCTCCGGTCTGATCTACGAGGAGACCCGCGGGGTGCTCAAGGTCTTCCTGGAGAACGTCATCCGCGACGCCGTCACCTACACCGAGCACGCCAAGAGGAAGACCGTCACCGCCATGGACGTGGTGTACGCTCTGAAGAGGCAGGGCCGCACCCTGTACGGCTTCGGAGGCTAGACCCGGTCCAGACCCGGTCCAGACCCGGTCCAGACCCGGTCCAGACCCGGTCCAGACCCGGTCCAGACCCGCTGAAACACAAAGGCCCTTTTAAGGGCCACACACTTCATCTAAAGAGATGATTTCTTATTTATAAACTGCTACACTGTGAATCCAGAAAATTCCACAAAATGGGGATTCACAGTGCTAATGATTTAAATAAATTCAAAACTGCTAGCAAAGGGATGAGGAAACTTAATTACAAATGAGCTTATTAACAAAATGAGTTCCCACAACAAAGAACCACCTACAATATCACATTTACATACAGGCTAAAATGCCAAGTCTAACACACTAGAGAAGAACTGGGCTGAAGTGTTTGTCAGTGATAAAATCAAACTGTTTGCAGAGTCTGGTGACCTTCATCTGTGCATGAGACAGCAGAGTAAACGCAAACATTTGGCTCAGACCATCATTACTGTAGCACTGCTGCAAATGGGAAGTATGCATTTAATGATGATTAAGTATGCTGTTCTAGGACGACGTGTGCAATTAAAATTATATCAGTTTACAACCACTTATTAGAGTAGGGTGATTTTAAGTATTTTTCACAATCCATACTAAAGTATCATTAACGCAGCTGCTGTCCTGGAGAGAAATGTCACAATTTGAGGTGATTGCATTATCAGAATCTGTCTTCCTGTCACTGTTAATCACACGCATTTAAATACAAAACAATTCAATGGTAAATTATAAACATATTTGAGTTATCTAAAAGGTCACATTATGTAGGACTCATTACACAATATTAGCTTTGTTGCTCAGTAGGTTTCTACAGAATAGTACCCATTAGTTAGAAATACCTACAGAATATCTTTATTTTAAAGTCCCACATTGTAACCCACTTATATCCTAATATCACATCTTGTTCCCTTGTACCTACAGGAACGTATCAGTACTGAATTACAGCCCGACCCATGTGGATATGATCAATATTAGAATTACAGCCTACCAAACTCTTTCAGGCACACAGTGTGTAACTTCAGTACATTTACTCATTAAGCACTTTATTAAGAATTTTCTTGAATGGCACCTTTTTCTTCTGCCCACTACTTATCAGGGAGGAATATATATTATCACTACAATTATTTGAGATCTTTATTAATAGTTACTTAGGTATTAAAAGTTTTGTTATAATTTAAACTACCCAATAGTTTTTACAAGCAGAGCTGAAATGATTGGTGTTTGAAATGATTAGTTGTTTGATAGAAAATAATTTGGCAGCTATATTTAAGTTAAGCTAATAGGCCAAAGTTTTCATGGTTAAACTTCACATATGTGAGTATTTGCTACTTTTTTCTTTATCGATTTACCTTTCTTTGTACTATTTTTGAGGTTTTGACTCTTAGTTGGACATGAAAAGCATTGTGAAATTGCCGCTTTGGGCTCTGGGTGGTATTTCTTACTATTTTCAGATTTTTTACAAACCAAACAACCAGGTTAACCCATAATGAAAATAATTGCTGTTTGCAGCCGATACAAAATATTTGAAAATGAGCTCCTGCTTTTACACGAATACATGATAAATAATAACAATAATACAGGAATATATAATAATATAACAGTCACAGGACATATTTCATAGTGTGATATTAGTACTTTTAGTGAATTAAAGTATCTGAATACTTTCTCCACCGCTAAAATAAATAAACTTAAATCTGTGTTACTGTGTTTATCTGTTGACCTTCACATCTTTATTCACTTCTCACAGAGATGTTTAATTATTTCTTGTGTGGCGCATGCGCAGTCTTGTTTAAATCTCAGCCAATCCTGTACGAGAAACAGCGCAGTTTCATTTGCATCAAGTGCATATAAATGTGCCGCCTCATCGTTTCAGACTTATTCGTTGTGAACTACTACGAAGTTGAAGATGCCTGATCCAGTTAAGGCTCCGAAGAAGGGCTCAAAGAAAGCCGTCTCTAAGAGCGTCTCCAAGACCGGCAAGAAGAAGAGGAAGACCAGGAAGGAGAGCTACGCCATCTACGTGTACAAGGTCCTGAAGCAGGTCCACCCCGACACCGGCATCTCGTCCAAGGCCATGCTGATCATGAACTCGTTCGTGAGCGACATCTTTGAGCGCATCGCCGGCGAGTCCTCCCGTCTGGCTCACTACAACAAGCGCTCCACCATCACCTCCAGGGAGATCCAGACCGCCGTCCGCCTGCTGCTGCCCGGTGAGCTGGCCAAGCACGCCGTGTCTGAAGGCACCAAGGCCGTGACCAAGTACACCAGCTCCAAGTAAAGCCGCTGTTACACCAGCAACACAAAGGCCCTTTTCAGGGCCCCCACTGCTTCAACTCAGAGCTGCCTTCCTCATGATTCACTTGATTATACAACTACTACGTCTCTCTCAACTCAAAAGGTGTGAATCACATCACAAGCTGACCTGCACCTGAGGTCTTCTACACAGAAGACATTCATTTCCTCTATATTTTGCCTACATACTCCCTGTAACGCTTGATTTTCCTAACGTGTCTCCTACTAAAACGGTCTGCAGGTTGTTTTCAGTTCAGAAGTTTCACATTGTGCAATACAGATAAATCAACTGAAGAAAGTTGAAAAACGTGAGAGAGCTCTTTTTCTGATTGTTGTCAGAATCAGATCTTCCAGCCAGTTAAATAAAGTTTCTCCCCGTCGGGGAATCGAACCCCGGTCTTCCGCGTGACAGGCGGAGATACTGTCCACTATACTAACGAGGAAGGTGCAACATTCTGTCCTCGAGGCAAACCAGCTGCTGAAAATGATTCATCAGCAACATCTGTGTGTTTTTTTTTACCACCAGGTGATGCTGTTTCCTCTCCTGTCTGTTCATGGAGCTGCTGAAGGAGAATTACCAACTGAATCTGATGAAGTCCTGTGTGCACGTTACTCTTATAAACAGTCACTCTTCTCCCCAACTATGACCCTGCTGTAAACCATATTATCTTTGTTTTTATTTATTAAGCTATATGACGTTTCATTCATCAGGATTTCATTATGCTGTAGAACAATATTATCTGTGTTACAAACAGAGAAAGAGGTTTCCACACCAGCTGAAGCAGATTACGGTGAGATATCATGATCACTCTGTGTGGCAGAAGACAGAAACATTCATTATTGTTATCTACAGTAACAGGATCGCATGATTTCAACCTGACGATCATTATCAGAGGTGCTGAAATTAATATCTGTGTGGATTTCTGGTGATTTCTGAGTGTTTTCAGTTAGTTTTGTTTTCGTGTCTGTCATCCTAACGTACAGTCCCAAAGGGGCGGTTCCTTTGTCTGAAGGGATATTAAATCAAACAAATGATGAATTTTCATTAAATGATGACGTTAGTCAATGATTAAAAGATCACATCTACCTTTGAAGATTTCACTTATTCCCACAATTTCGTCGCAAAAAACCGACCCAAATCATTACAACTTTTATCGCAGTTTTATAGAAAAGCGGCCAAAAAGTCTGACATGTTCGAGCGGAACAATCAGTAAAAAGGCCCGCAGAATCCTGGAGGGACCGAATATCAAGTCTTGTCTCTTCACAGCCCTGCTAGTCGTCGTGTCCTACAGAATATCAAGGCAGCTGAAACCGAGTTCTTATTTTGGATGATATAAATAAATCTGATGGTGGATTTTGAACCTGTGTGTGTTATTTACTTCAGTGCTGTTCATACTGTTATATTGTAGATACTGGATACCAAATCCACATACTTCAAGTCATTACTCCTGCACAAAATACGTATTTATTCCTGCATCCTTTGCACTCTGATTACTGCACTATTTGTCAATATGTCTATATTGTTTTTGTTCATAGTGTGTATCTGTGTTGTCTACACTGAAGTCTGTGTCTGATTTTATTTTATTATTGGGGTTTTGTATTTTTGTATGAGTAAGCACATCGTGAGCAATCCACAGTCAAAAAAAACTATTTCATTTTTTTAAGTAAAGTCTTTTAAACCATTTAATTTTATGAGTAAGACATTTATCCAAAATATGAATCAAGTTTATTATGTACAGAGAAAAAAAAGTTGCATATCAGTTTTTGGCTCAAATCTAAACCAAAAGGAAAAAGCATGAAAATACAAACCTTTCTCTTTTATCAGCTGTTACACCAACCAGATGTTATTTTTTACACCAAACAGGAACTCTTTACAGACACTTAAATGTAGGTTACATTTGGAATTAGAGATTAAAAACCACCATTTATTTCAATTTGTACAAAAGAGGTTTGATCCATCTTGAAATGTATGTTCAGGGGAAAGGAAATAATTTGAGCTTCCTTGATATTTTGATTGATATCTACTGATTATACTTTTGTTTAAATGACGGTGATGTTGATACATGACAACTAAATGGAATAAACTTTTTACTGTTTGGACTTAAGAGAAACAAATTGGATTGTACTTTCTCTAAGTGATTTCTACAAAACTAATGATCTATTTAACCTAATATTAATTAAATTGACTTCACTTTCTGTTTAATGGTTTAAAGTACAAAAGTAGCTAGTAGTACTACTAAATGTACTAATTTCGCTGATTAGTAAGCTTTTATTACTTTAGTAATTTTAGTAAAATGTAGATACTTGTGTAATTTTCCTTCAGTTCTGGATTTTACTTGTGATATTGATCATTTGGATTCTTCCAACACTCCCAGTTTGCAGCATGACCTGTAAACCCAGCTGATAATGTTGGACCTGGACCTTTTGAGTTTGAAAACGTGCTTATTATTTGGCTCCGGTGCTAAATTATTGCATTAGAGAAATCAAGGACAACTTTCCAGTCTAGTCCTCCCTCCTTCTTTTGTGTAGTGTTGTTTTTCTCTATGTGGCACTTTCATTCTTTCCTTTGTGGAGCCAAAACTCTTCTTCAACATCTCAAACAGATTGTTTCCTTGGATCTTTCCCCGTATTTGATTCTGCCCCAAACATTGTTTTATAAGCTTAATAAGTTGTAGAGCTGAAGTGGCCCCTGCTCTGCTCCTGTTGTGCATTAAGTCTGGACGTTTGTCTGCAGTTGAACATTTAATCATTTGGAAATGTTGGTTAAAGCTTAATATTATGAGCAATAATGTCCAGCTGTGCTGATGTCTCTCAGCGCAGCATCCTGATCAAAAAACGGTCTGAATTGTTTTTTATTTGCTTTTGTGGCTGTTTGCAGTTATTAAACACAAATATACATTTACACCACTTGTTGGTAAATAACCAAACAAAAGTAAGTAAATGATGCAAACTATAGGAGCATGAAACTTGATGATTGCCGACCTGAGGTAACTTTTTTCAAGGTTGTGGAGAAGTGAAACACGACACAAGCTCTAACATATAGATTTTGAATTCATGGTTTGTTGTGATCTTTATCAGGAGTTTATGAATGTAGATGTTGTGACACTCACTGATGTATTTTTGTGAGTCTGGGTCCAGGACAGACACCAATAGTCTCTGCTGGGTCTCCATCTGAAAGCTTTGGGAACTCCTGCTCTTTTACTTTGCTCATCACACCAGCGTGTCGTCAGAATCAGAAAGAGCCGAACATAATATTTTATATGGACGAGGAATTTGCTTTGACTTCACATGACACAGTCTCTTAGTTTAAGTAAAACTGGTCGTTACTTTATTTATGATGCTCATCTTGTGATTTTGCTCTTGTGCTTCTATTTTTATTTCCATAATTATTATGTTTTATAAACTTCAGATCAATTTTTTTTTTTTTTACTTATTTACTTCTGTATCTCATCTTATCTTGAAATGTGGAAAAACTTTGTTAATGTAACTTTAGTCTCCAAAAGTTTTGAAGATGTAATATTTCTAACATGTTGTTTTCAATCTAAAATCATTGTTTCTTTCTTGGCCAGCTGCTGTGGATGATTGGTCAGTTTGAATTTTTCTTTTGGCCAATAGCAGCTCCTCTCGGCCTGGACCAATCAGCGCCGTCGTCGCGCCCGCTCTTCCTTTATAAAGCCGCTGCTCGCAGCCTGTCGGGATTCTTCTTTATCTGTGAACACGGACAAGTTAGAGAGACTGAAATGGCCAGAACCAAGCAGACCGCGCGTAAATCCACCGGAGGAAAAGCTCCCAGGAAGCAGCTGGCCACCAAGGCTGCCCGTAAGAGCGCCCCGGCCACCGGCGGAGTGAAGAAGCCCCACCGCTACAGGCCCGGTACCGTGGCTCTCCGAGAGATCCGCCGCTACCAGAAGTCCACCGAGCTGCTGATCCGCAAGCTGCCCTTCCAGCGCCTGGTGAGGGAGATCGCTCAGGACTTCAAGACCGACCTGCGCTTCCAGAGCTCCGCCGTCATGGCTCTGCAGGAGGCCAGCGAGGCTTACCTGGTCGGCCTCTTCGAGGACACCAACCTGTGCGCCATCCACGCCAAGAGGGTCACCATCATGCCCAAAGACATCCAGCTGGCCCGACGCATCCGCGGAGAGAGGGCTTAAACTCCCCCCCACACCTCTTTACACCACAACGGCTCTTTTAAGAGCCTCCTCACTAAAGCTCAAGAGCTCCTTCCTCTGATCATGTTCATGAAAACCACTATATATTACTGTTCAAACACTAATGATCACAGCAAGAAAATGTATCTTCTTATTTACAGAAATTCAATATTTCATCAACAAGTTCAAATAAGCTGAAATCAGATCGCTGAGTTCAGCAATTATGACTTTATGCCAAAATGAATCTCCTTCACATCAGGCTGCTTACAATATTGGAAATGTCTTGTTTTGAACAAATGATTTGCCGTCATTTTCAAGACTTCTTATAAAAGTAGGCTTATTTAAAAACAGAAATTGGCTACAGCCTGTGAGAAGTTAAATATAAAAATTGAACAAACTGTTAAAATAGAACATTTTCAGAGTATTAGAGCGCTGCTGAAAGAGAGAAGACAGCTAATAAACTACATTCTTACTGCAACCAATAACCACCAGAAAATAATTGTTGGACCTGCAGAATGGCCCCTGATGAAGCTTCACTGAGGCAGACCGGGTTGTAACAACACCAATTACACATAAGATAGTTAGGTGATCATTTTAGTTCTTACCTGCTTCCTCCCTGATCTGGCACGGTGGTTATCAAGATTTTGAGGTAAGAGTAAATTTTTCCGACCAAGACTACATTTTGTTTAGTGTCTATAGACTCAGATGTTTAAAAATGACACGTGTTGTGCAGAATTTAAACACATGTACAGAGTGTGTTCAGGGACAACACGCATAGTGTCAAAGTCAACACAATAGATGTGTAAACTTTTTTAACACACAAATGTGCCATTTTAACACAAGTTGTGTCGGGTCATTTAACACACCGCGGTGTAGCTGACGACCAAAAACTGCAAACAAACGTGTAACACAAGTAAATGTTGTTGCCAGGAACTAATGGAGAGAAAGATATGTGAAAAAAAGCCATTTAATCAACGGTGAAATGTCGACAGGCTACAGAATATATGAGCACAACAAAATGTTACCGCTCAACTCGACACGTTCATGCAATTCCTAAAAACATATAGGATATATAACATACATACATAAAACAACAAGTTTGCCTGAGTTTTTGATTTAGGATGTAATAAAAAACCCAAGCTGCTTTCAAAAAATAGCAAAAGCATGCGATGACTTAGATGATTACATCATAACTGTACCTTTACACTACATGGGAAGTGTTTCCAACATCAGTTACACCTAAAACCGGTAGGTTGCCAACATAACATAGTTGAAAATAGTGCAAACACATTTTAAATACATGTACAATAAAACCTTTAGGCGTCTTTAAATTGTCAATTACATTAACTGTTGAAATTACATTGTTAATTTGAAAATGAATAAATTAGTGGATTCATTACACGTTCAAAGACAATAAGGACCATCTGCCTTCTTGAGAACTAAACAATCTTGTACCTCGGGTTTAAGTATAGTTCATGTGTATTGATTATTGATTATGTCTAAAAGGCCTGACTGCATCAGACAGCTTGATCATTTCAAATTCTTTACTTTTTTATAGCATAGGCATAAAAATGCTCATCAAAGTTCTTTACTGTAAGACGTCTTACACACATTAGAAAGGATTCAGCACGAGTTATTTCCCCAAACACTGGCTCTCCTTTGTCGTCTACTTTAAAGTGGCAGAACAGATCCAGTTCTGTAAGTCTGGCCGAGCGCACCAACAGTGTTTGCAACATCATCATAGGTTGATCTCAGATTGTTGCATTTATAAATCTCATTTTCTCAGAAAAAAGGGTCACCTAACTCGAAGCTATACGTTTGCTGAACTTGATGTTTGTAACTCAGTGTTTTTTGAAATATTTCTGAAGTTTCCAACCACATGAGCACGTCTTTTTTTTTTTTTTTAATGGATTATGTTTTGCTTTCTCTAATTTCATTCATGCACCACAGCTGAGAAATGTGTCCAAACACAATCCTCCTTACAAGAACCTGCAAAAGGCACCACATTAGTGATGCAGTTTGTTTTACTGCATTTTCACAAGTTCTCAAACTTGGCTTATTTTCCACATTTCCATAATCAAAACTGGAAATTCTTTGATTCAGCAGTTCTAGGGTCAAAAGTTTTTCTTCATAAATCGAGTGGCGTAACATTAGTCTCACCTTTAAAAGGGGCAACGCCCTCAAGCATGTCGTGCCGGTGTTCACTGTAAGGACTCTTCAGAGCTTTCCTTGGCTGATCATGCAGATAAAAGTTGTATTTTATATCAAAGTTAAATCAAGCACCAGTCTGGTTGAGATTCACATCAGGATAAAGTCTTAACATTAGCTGTAGAAGTTAAAGCACAAACCAGCTTCTTCCTATTCTGCTCCTTTGTTTATTAACAACTGCCTGTAGTTAAAAAGTCTACACGTCACAGAACTTTAGATGTAGTGTTATGTGCTTTTGGGTGTGATGGATAAACAGTTTCTTTAATCATCGTGAAATATACAGCAGGAAGTGTGTCTTCAGTTTGAGATGTGTGGCTCTTAAAAGAGCCGTTGTGTTTGTGGTTGTTGTTGTTTACTTCTTGGCGGGCTTCTCGGTCTTCTTGGGCAGCAGGACCGCCTGGATGTTGGGCAGCACGCCGCCCTGAGCGATGGTGACTCCGCCCAGCAGCTTGTTGAGCTCCTCGTCGTTGCGGACGGCCAGCTGCAGGTGACGGGGGATGATCCTGGTCTTCTTGTTGTCGCGGGCGGCGTTTCCGGCCAGCTCCAGGATCTCAGCGGTCAGGTACTCCAGCACCGCCGCCAGGTACACGGGGGCTCCGGCACCGACGCGCTGGGCGTAGTTTCCTTTACGCAGCAGTCTGTGGACACGACCGACGGGGAACTGCAGCCCGGCGCGGGAGGAGCGGGTCTTGGCCTTTGCTCTGGCTTTGCCTCCGGTCTTTCCTCTTCCAGACATTTTGCGCGTTGATTCTTTCGAGCACGAGAACGTTCTGCCCTACAAACCGCCGAAACCACATATATATGTGTACAGAGCTGCTCCCTGATTGGCCAGAGCGAGCGTACCGATGATCACCCAATCAGAAAAGGGTTTACGTCAAATCCCGGTATTAACCATAAAACTTCCGGTTCACGCTGCATGGGATTTCAAAATAAATTACAATTGTAGCGTTTGCTCCGTTATTATTCACATTTCAGTCTCTAAGTCACAGCGTTGTTTTTCTTATAGTTCTAAAGAAATCTATATTTAATCTATATTTGATGAGCTGTGGTTGGATGTAGGTCTCACTTCAATGTGACTTCCTAGTTGAATAAAGGTTAAATACAAAATAATAAAATAGTTTTATGATGTTGTGTCATTACAAAAATGAAAACAATGAATAGAAGTGAAAATATAGCAACAGATATTTCTGTTTTCATAGATGGAGGCAGGCCAGGGTTTGATTTATTTTACCAGAGTCAGTGAATGAGTGCTTGATATATCACCAAACAAAATCTAAATACTGTCCCGGATGAACTGGGTAATACAAAACAACAAGGCTACGTATCAGGTGCTGTAATTGTTTTATAAAATGTGTAATATGTTTTTACAATTAATACATCTATCGATGATACACATTTTATCCCCGAGCGTGATATTTTAAAACTTTTACAGACTGTAACTCGTTCTTCTCTGCAGCTTTACATGTGGGTTTCCGTAGTGTAGTGGTCTCGAGGACAATCTCTCAAGCAGAAGCCCTTCAAAGAAGAAGCGACTTGAATCCTTCTGTGGCTCTAAATATTTTGCTGCAGAGTGTTTGATTAATTGAAAACAACAAAACCTAAAGGGACATTTTATTGCAGATCTGTGAAGAAATCATGGAAACAATCGATATTTTAGGATGATAAGACGTATCAATCATGAGGTTTTGTACCTTATGATTAAAAGGTTAGACATTAATGCTACTTTTACCTGCTGCTATTGCTAAAAGTTGCATTAAACTTACTAATAATCAACTTTATTTCTATACCATAATTGCTTCATAAAATAATTAAAAAACAAGCTTGTTGTATTTCCACAGTTTTACTTATGAAAGGCCTCTATTAGGTGTACAGCTCAGCATATGAATATACAGATGTTTCATTGTTTAATATTCTATAACTGTTACTACCCAAGTAAAGACACACATCACATAATGCTTTCAAGATATTTTATTGAAACAGCTGAAACCTGAATAATTAAACACACAAAATCCAAACTTACACCTGTCACACCTGATGTGAAAGCTACTGAGCAAACGTTCAAATTGTTTGGCCCGTTTTTATGTAAAATTGAGTTGAAATACGGTGATTTTTGTAGTGGTTTATGGTAAGATGTGGAACAATGATGTTGTGGACTTGTGAGTAACTTCTACCATCTGCTAGATTACGGTCTCAGTCTGAAGCAGCTTTTATTTGGATCACACTACCTTGTTTCATTTCATTTCATTTCATTTCATTTATTTAAGGACAGTGCACATTAATCAACATTTCTGTAAATGTGCCAGTGTTAGCCAGCAGGCTAATTTTCAACTGTAGTCCATTGGCAAGATGTTATACTAGGCACATAATAGCTTCTTAATAGTTTCTTACGACCCGCCCTTCCCTGCTTCTGATTGGCTAGTAATCCTTACCTGGGATCTGCGCATGTGCAACTCCCAACAAAGATTTTGTAAAAGTAAGATGCATCAATCTGTAGCTCAAGAGCGGAGCGAACAACACACAGGGTGAAAAGAGGAACTGCGGTTCGGAACCGGGCGGAAACATGTATTTGTGGTACACGTTATTTAGCCTTTCATTTTAAATTAACTAACCACTATTTTATATTAAATGACCAATAAAGACAGCTAACGTTACGCTATTTCAATAAATGACTAAAGCCTGGTTCACACTGCACGTGCAGAAAACGGCCCGTCGGCCCCTTTGGACTGTTCTGGCTGCGGACAATTGTTAATAAAGTTTGGTTTGGAAGCTACGAGGGAGGAAGAAGTTTGTTTTGCTAGCACCGTGGACCGTCTGTGGAGGTAAGCTATCTGTGTTTCACTGTATTGATTATAAACTTGATACTTAGCGTAGTGCCGCCGCAGCACTTTCTGTCTTAATATAATAATTTAAACCCAGCATAAGACTTTCAGGGTAACAGGGACACTAGTGTGCAGGTGAAGTTACAGACTGAGAGACCATATGATGATGGTGAAGAAAAGATACACACGGGCAAATTAAATGGTGACTAAAATAAAAATAAAATAGAGTAATTGAAACATTACGGCGAAACAGCGCCACTCGCCCACAGGCTGCAGTGTTATGGTTAAAATCGGTACTGCACATAAATCAGTCGTTGAACTCCTCGTTAGTATAGTGGTGAGTATCCCCGCCTGTCACGCGGGAGACCGGGGTTCGATTCCCCGACGGGGAGGCTGAATTTATTTTCCTTATTCTTCAGTGTCAGACTGTTGATGAAATAAAGACACGGAAGATCCATGAAGACTCCCTGCATCCAAATATCTCCAAAAGGTAAGAATAATTTAAGTAAATATCCAAACTACAGGCTGAAACTGTCAGATTAGCTCACTGACTCCACCTCTCATGTCCTGAAACTGTTATTGGATGTAAAACATGGTTAATTAGAGCCATATAGTTATTAGAGCTGCAACAATTTGTCTATGTATAGGCTTTGAGTTTGTCAAAGTGCTGCCAACAGCAACATGTGCAGCAAATAAAAAGACACAGAACAATAAAACTTACTACACAACCTTGTGTTGTATAATAATAAATGAACTACCTTGCAAAAAGCAAAATCACTGCAGTGAGGCAACACGGCTGCAGAGGACAGGTGACATGTAATAAACGGGAAGAATTGCTTTATCTTTTCTTACCTATTATTTATTTGTTTGTTTGTTTATTTGAATTGCTTATATCAGCTTACAAAAATGTAGCTATTGTTGTAATAAAAATATTAGTAATGATTGTAATCTGCAGTGTTAAATTTCCTTGCTGTAACTAAATGAGTGTTCAGTAAATATGATATTACACTGCAGGCTTGTATTTCCCCCCAAAACATAATTTAAAGAAAGAAAGAAAACTCGAGGTCAAACTTTCATCTATTATTTATTACCTTTTTAAACCCAGAAGGAGTTTGTTGCTGTAAGAGATGTCATCTTATCTCATAGACAGATAGAGCTGATAACCAATCAAACAAGAACACACCAACAGTGACGAACAAAACATTTCAGAATGACGTCTGATGGTGGAGGTTAGAAATGTCTTCTCTTCCTCATTACGCGGCGTCACTGGACCCTGTGAACACACAAATAAACCGCCGTGTTTCCATCACTGCAGAGGATATTTTATTGACTTACATCAGAGACTGTTTAAGGAAAGAGACGCCGCTTAAAGAATCCCGAATAGGATCCTATGGGGAAAGCCTGGAACACCAAAGATGGAGGTTGTTTGCACGTCCCGCCCCTCCTGCTAGAAAGCCAACGGTCTGTTTTTAACAGCCGAGCTGGGAAACAATTACGTCAGAGCACAGCTGAGTTTTGTGACAGTTTCTGGCTCTCTCTTCTGAGAGAGACCTGATCCTGTTGGTCCCAGATACCTGAGGCCTTACCAAGATGGTTGCAGAGTGGCGGGACTTTGCTTACATTAATTTCCTGGAAACCTACCCTTAAAAAGTGTTGCGGGGCCTTGCATTTTGTCCCTAAGAGGAAGACGACTCCGCACAAACAGATTTATGTCCCCACAACATGAGTAATATGTGGACATGTATTACTGGAACAAAACACCTGAGCACCTGTGAGTTTGTAGAAGTCACATGTGTGTCCGTAAATTTGAAGTCTCAGAGAAAAATCCTTTATTACAGTAACAAAATTCTTCATTGCAGGTGCTCAAATTCTCTTCTACCCGTCACAAATGAAGAAACTCTTACAGTTGCTGGATATAGCGCAATACACCCTCATCAGAACCTGTGAAGCCATGATGGGCAAAATGTGCCCATCTGTAAATCCAACCCGTTCTCACTCCCGAGTCGCCACAAATGGACGCATGGTCAAGACCCGTTGGCGTCAGTTTGTAACGCACTGGGAAGCCCCTTAGGGTCATAGTTCAACATAGTGAGGGAAGCCCTGTAGCGTCACTTTTGAAAGGTAACTGTAGGTGTAGGATGTTTAACAGAAAAGACCAAGTAAGGAGGAGGTCAGGGTGGACGGAGGGCCAGAAACTTTCACCCAGGAGACCGGTGTTTGTTTACCGTGTGAAACAAAAAGTCTAAGTTATCTAAGTTACATCGGTTACATAAGTTGTGTAAGTTAAGAAACTAACATTCCCCAACTTACATAAGTTAAGTCACATAAGTAAAGTCGTTATTTTAACCCAAACCAATTATCTTTTCCTAAACCTAACCAAGTAGTTTTGCTGCCAAATGCGACGTTTCACAACATTAACAAGTACATTTTATTGTGAAAGTGTAACCAGACTTTGCCTATTTACTGTTACCGCGGAGACCTAAACGGTGAAAAACAACAATAAAGGGCTCCCAGCGTACTAAAAACATGACGCCAAGGGGTCTTAACCAAGAGGCTGTTTGTGACCAGTTGGGAGTGTGTGGATAAATCAGTTCATGTTTTATTGACTAAACCTAACCAAACAACCACCGTTTCATAAAGTTTATCACGTATTAAACGTCACATGACTTACGTATCTTACTTAAGGTCCTGGGTAGGTTTACCCAGCAAGTCTGTTTAGTCTCCTGATTTCTGGCAGCTCAAAAACGCTGTAGAGTATGGTTTGCAGTATTTTTACATGTTGTGGTTAAACTGACAGAAAGTGAGGTTTGCCAGTAGAAAGAAACGACAGAGGGTTTCATGTTTCCATTCAGTGTGAGTTCCTGATTGATCTGCACGGGGAACTGAAACTTTGCAGCTTCTGGCCATGCAGAAAGAAAGTGTAGTGCAGGTTA